CCCTTTTCCCTTTGCCCCCCTCCTCCCAAACTATTTCTTTTGAATTTTAGACTTATTGATAATTAAGAATGTTTATAGTTAATCTAATATTAGACAGATCATAACCTTGAATATAGCCACTGAAATCAAAATAAACTGTTTGTTAAATGCATCTCTTTAGGAAAATCTCACAAAAGATTGTTTAGCAAGGCTATTTGAAACAATTAAAGGCTATACTTATTTCCAGGCTATAGCAAGAGAAATTCAGTTTGTTTGGAGATTGATCTACCACTACATTTTGGATTGGGGGAGAGTCTCATTTTGATATTCAATACAGCAATTAAATTATAACTTTGAAAGTGAATTCTGTATGGCCCGAGACATGTAGAAACTAATGTGAAAGTAAATAACTATAGAGACAACAGACCATCTCATATATCCAGTGTAAATCTTGGGACAATCTAATAGAAGCCATAGTTGAGAACATGTTAAACTCAAAAATCCTGTAGCCTTTGGGCTTATATGGTTCTGGACTCCCCCTAGTGGTTCAAACTTTTGGTGTTTTAATGGATACTCTTCAGGTCATAGAATCACCAAATTTATTAAAAACTAATTTTAAAAAAGAACCACACAACTCATATTAGACTGATTTTCCACAAAGAGAAGACTATGTTAATGAATAGTATAATAAATGTGGATATTACGATAGTTGAAATAATAGTGTTGCAATGGTCTGAAGAGACACAGTGGATTTCACTCACTGACTGGGGAAGCCAGTTATAGTTCTGCTGAGAGTGTGTGATAAGAGCTGAAGGCTCTGGAACAGGATTCTTGGTTGCTCTAAGGTGAGAACTGGACCTTTTAGGGAAAGGGTGAAGTGACTATTTCCTATAATGCATATAACATACAAAATACCTTAATCAAGTGTTCATGTTATTGGTAAGACTTCCGACCAACAATAAGCTATTAGCAGTTAAGTTTTTGGAGCTGACAAAAGTTATACAATGATTTTTGACTGAGTGTGTGTGTGTTGGTACCCTTAACTCTAGTGTTGTTCAAGGGTAAACTATTTTCATAAGTAGAAAAACAACAACCCCCCAGTAACTTAAGCACTCTATCTGCAATCTCAATTTTGAAATCTTATGAATTGGGGTTGCATGCTGGGGTCCAGCCCCAGCAGGTCCAGGGGTTCCCAAAGGTGTGGACGGAGTCGGTGAAGAAGGAAGGACACGGAGGCAGCATTCAGGTGGTCATCATAGCTAGGTTCTAAAAAAGTTTAAAAGAGTTGCCATTATTCTATCAAAAACAAACAAAACAAGCTCAATGTAATTACACAGTCACATATCACTAAAACCACATGCAGATGGACCATCATGCTTTCATCTGGTTTAACTGTCTTATCTAGTTCAATTGGGATGCTTCTCAACTTTAAAAACTGTGATAAGTGAAGATGTAACTTATTGGGTAATTTTGAATTTGGATTTAACTTTGTTGCATATTATTACCAAGTATACTTATTATGATACAGTACAGCACATCTTTCTATTAGAAAAAAGAATTATAAGATTCTTTATCAGTCTCCTTAAGTTAAAGGTGTGACATCATAAAGGGTGTCAAATGGCTGGCTGGATGTATAGTGCACACATATGTTATGAAGAATGTTCTTAACCAATCTGGTGGTTATGTTACACAGTTCCTTTCTTCACCTTTTCTTCAGGGAGTTAACTGTTTGGAGTGGAGTGACAGGACCTCCTCAGTCCAGCCCACCAGGCTGGTACTTAACATTCTTTCCAGATGATGTCAGCACCTGAAATGAACACATCCTACCTTCATCCACACAAATCATTCCACCAGCATGATCAGAATTGCCACAATAATCTGGGACTGAAAATAGAGTTACCTATCTGTTATGCCCAGATTTCAAGATCCCCAATAGTCCACACCAGGGAGCCAGCCGAGTCCGATGAAAAAGCAAAGAGTCTTTATTCGAGCTAGCTCGGCTCCCCGACCACACTCACTGATGCAACGGCAAGCCAAGTGGCAGAGAGAGGGCTAGCCCGGTGGGAAGAGGAGTTTTATAGGGGGGTGGAGTAAGGGGAGGAGAGGGGACTGTGGGCCTTGCCGATTGGCCAGGCGCAAGTTGGTGTCTTGTTACACAGGATGTGATCATATCTATGGCGCAGACTTCCCTTGATTGTCATTGGTTAGTTTAAAGAAGTCCTGGGTGTGGCTAGCAGAGGCTTGGGCTTCCGGGAAGAAGCCTTGCCAAGCACATGGCCAAGGTAAGATGGAGGGCGTAGCCCTTACCCTGGGGCAAGATGGAGGGCGTAGCCCTCCACCTTTCAACCTCAGACTATAAAAGGTCCGTGCGGAACACGGGTGGAAGTCCTTCCTCTTGAGTTGGACTTACCCGCCTGGTCCCCCAATATTTCCAAATTATCTCTTGTCTTTTCTATTTCATTTGTGTGCAGCTCCTCTTCCAGATATTGAACCCTGAACCACGCGGGACGTGCGAGGAAACATTTACCGACAGTGGTCCTGTTTAAAACACATAGTGCTAAGAGGGGGAGCAAACATAGGCCATATACGCCAGGTCCCTTGAAACATAAGCTGTGCAGATGTTTCTTCCCTGCAGCGACTGTGCCAAGCAGCAAGGGAGGACCGGCTTCCGGCAGTTGCACAGATCCCACCGCCCAGGACCAGCAAGCTGCAAGCCCAGGAGTTTCAGTGCCCATTCGGACTTTCACAATCAGAGATGGCAGCAAAGGCGGCATCATCAGGAACTACCACGCCTTGGTCTTGTCATCCAGTATACGCAAGATACTGGCAACATTATCATCAAGCAGTGGCTTGGATGCGAAGCCACCAGAATGCCTATCTGAAGGCCATAAAGTCTTATTTCAGTTCTCCGTGGTACTTCACTCCGGGAGATCTTCCCCAGAGCTCTTATGCTAAGAAGGGTGGATCTTCTCAGTCCTTCTGTGACCATCACTTGGCCTCCCAGGGCTCCCACTGTGGTTATTCACCTTCTCCAAGGTCTGGGCACCGTCCTCATGACAGCACAAGCGAAGACCAATCTTGGGCCACAGAGGAGGCGATGGAGACCGGCTCAGATGCTGGGGTGGAGTACGACCTGAGCAGCATGGAGATCACGGAGGAGCTCCGCCAGTACTTTGCGGAGACCGAGAGGCACAGGGACGAGCGGTGGCGGAGGCAGCAGCAGCTGGACGCGCAGCGCCTGGAGGACTATGTGAACGCCGACCATGACCTGTATTACAAGACGCGCCGCTCCGTGGAGCCCCCCTCCGAGAGCCCCAGTGAGCGGCGCCAGGCCAACATGAAGCGCTTGTACGGGGACAGCGCCGCCAAGATCCAGGCCATGGAGGCCGCCGTGCAGCTGAGCTTTAACAAGCACTTTGACCGAAAGCGGCCCAAGTACTGGCCGGTCATTCCGCTGAAGTTCTGAGCCCTGGGCCCCCAGCCATCACCCCCTTCCTCTGGGATTTGCTCCTTCATCTGCTTCTGTGCATTTGCTCAGGGAAAGGGGGCTTTGTCCTGAGAAATCAGCATGTTCACCAAAGTGCCAGTGAGCCCGTCACGG